GTCATGGGTTCAGGTCCACAGTTCAGTACCAGGACAATAAATAAAAATTAGAAATGGAAAAGGAAAGCCCAGAACCTGGCACCTTACTTAGCAGTGGCTCAAGCAGAGTGGCCACACCTTGCTGTGTCTGGGTTTCTTTAACTGTCAAGCACTCATGGGATGACACGTCAGTGTCAGTGTTGAAAGAGTAATATTGCAGAGAGGGAAATTAAGCACAGGGGATTGAGTCAGCACTGGCTAGCAGCTTCGGAGGTCCWGTTGGGTTTGTGATTGTAAATCTCAAGAGTGCCCAGTCAGCCCCTGTGATTCCCTCCTCCCCAGTGTCTTGCTGCTAGTCAGGCTGGGTGTGGTGGTCCACACCTCAACTCTCAGGACTTCTCACTCTGCCCCAGGGGCTGCCATGCCTGGCACCTGAAGAGGGAGCACCCCTGAGAACCAGCTCTTCTTTTAAAAGGGAGATTTGGGGGCTGCACTTGTAGCTCAGTGGTAGATGTTATGCAAACAACTACATTTGAATTAAAAGAAGAGTCACAAACAGTTTCCAAAGCTGGGAGGGAAGAGGTAGCAAGAAAATGTATTTACTTTTTATTCACGAAAGTACAGCCAACATAGTTCACAGGCTATATACAATCCACCCTTTATAAAATTCAAAAAATTTTAGTATAATCAGAACTACCATCATAATCTAATTTTAGGAAATTTTCATTCCCCCCAAACAAACAAACCCTATACCCATCAGCAATCACTCCCAGTTCCCCTTATTCCTCTCCCCACTGGGGAGATCTCACATCTATTTCTATCTCTAAATATTTGCCTGTTCTTAACATTTATGTAAATGAAATCATATAATAGGTGATTCTGTGTCTGGCTTCTTTTGTTTATTTGTTTATTTTAAAATAAATAATAGCAGAATGCATTATAGTTCTTGTTACACATATAGAGCCCACTTTTTCATATCTCTGGTTGTAAATAAAGTATGTTCACACCAATGTGTGTCTTCATACGTGTACTTTGGATAATAATATCTATCACATTCCACCATCCTTGCTAACCCTCTGCCCCCTCCCTTCCCCTCTGCCTTATCTGGAATTATCAATTTCTCCCATGCTCCCCCTCCCTACCCCACTATGAGTCAGTTACCTTATATCAGAGAAAACATTCAGCATTTGTTTTTTTTGGGATTGGCTAACTTAGCATTATCTTCTCCAACTCCATGCAAATGCCAAGATTTTATTCTTATTGCCAAGTAATATTCAGTT